TTTGCCTTACCAGGCGTCTTATTTACTTTTACTGCATTAATTAAATATTTCTCTTTTACTAGTTTACAGCGGACATGTCAGGAAATGGAACAGGGAAATTGAGACCTGGTTTAAAATTAATATTGGGACTTTTTAATAATAAAAAATTTGTTAGCTATCAGTCTGAATGCCAGTTCGACGAAACGCGTTCTGGAATTTAGCAGAGTTCGACTATCAATATGCATTTCGCTCGAAAGTCTATGATGATGTTCGAATTAGGCTAATTATTCCATTTACTGCTGCTTGTAGTTCTTATTATTTTAATACATTTTTTGTTATATTTTATCAAATATGTAATGAGATAGCTTACACTTTATTTTACATACATATTAACTTTTAAATTCCAATCCAAGTTAAGCATTCATCTTTAGCTTTTTCTATTTTAATTTTTCCTACATTCTATGCTTTTACATTTTGTATTACAATTGGAGCTTTACTCTGTGTTTATACTTTTTTGCAAAGGAACGAAGTATCACTTTACTTGTAGGCTATAGCTTGAAGAATTACTTTTTAATTTTAATTAATATATAATTATGTAAACATATACACATGGATTACAGCTTATTTTTTTTAAATAGACACTACAGAAAAAAAAAAAAAAAAAAAAGATGGCATAGCAAATTATTTTTATTAATTAGCATTTATTATGAAATGGAAAAACTGGCATTGGTTATTTCCAAGAAACAGTATAGCTTCAGCAAGATCTTCTTTGTTGGAGGGCCGATTTGATAAACTTCAGAGCTGAGAAGAGTCTTTCCACACTAACTTGAGTAGGAGGAAGAGCTGTTACTGTTAAGGCTATTTCTTTTAACTTTTCAGGATAGATTTTTATAAGTTCTAAAAGAGGTGTCTTGCAAGTGCAATCATATTTCTTTATTTCTTCAATGGTCGTGCAGAAATCTTTTTTGTATTTTTTTCATTTTTATATCTAAAGTCACTTGGTTCTTTATTCATTCGCTTTACCTTAGCCTTTTCTATATTATCCAAAAATATTTCACAAAATCTAATTCATCACTGGAAGAGGATGATAGAGCCTCAATTGCAATGTCTGCAGTTTGACCCTCCTGATTCGAATACTCCAATTGTTTTGATAATAATTTCATTCTTAATTAAAGTTCATATATGGCTTTCTTTGTCTTTTTAATTTGTTAGTCATCTAAGAAAATTCGGTGTTAACGGATCTACATTTATTGAACCCAGCAAGATCTCGTTGTCTAGCAAACTAGTTTCTCTTTTATTCATTGAAGAAATGATTCCTACTACAATAAACCCTCCATTTCAAAAAGAACAAACAACCCATTCTTCCATTCTCGCATCCTGTCAGTTCTTCAGGTTGCAGCTTTTTTGTGGCTATATACGGTGCTGAAAGAAGAGTTTCCAATTCTGCAAGATCATTCCACAGTTTTTCTGTTAGTGAAACATTAGGATTATGTACATCTTCTAAAAAAGTTCTTAATTCTAAAAAACCTCTTTATCTTTAAAATATGTACTTCCTTATTGCGTTGCTTGATCAATAATTGCTCCTTTTCCTGCTCGCTTCTTAAGAATGGTATCAATTTTGGGAGTTCTTGCTGCTATTGTTGCTGACCTAAATTTACCAGTGAGATTTATAACTAAATGAATCAGTTTAATCACTAATGGTAAATATCACATCCATCTTCCTCCCTTATATTTATTTATTAATATGTCAATAAGATAGAAAATAACTATTTATTAATGTATACAGTTCATAAATAAAAATAATAGCTCGCCATTAATTTTTTTAAAATTCATTTTAAATTCATTTCAAATTCAAACTGTCCCACAAAAACTGGAGTTGGAGGCGACCTGTTTTTAGTGACTCCAGCTCAGACTCCTTTTACCCCAAAATCTGCCCGACTGCATGACTGACCCCACAGCCCTGATTTTAAGGGTGATCAGATACAGGTCCTTCAAGGAAAAAAATATATTCTGCAGAATTTTTCTTTGCTCACTCCTGAAGGGGGAAAAAATAAGCATCTACATCAAACTAAGGTTGCTTTATTCCTAATTTTAAAATTTTACATTTGCATGCTGTCCTCCAATGAATGAGAGATGTCCTTCAAGTATTAAGTTTATGGGTATAGCATCGATTAAATAATTTCTAGAAATACGAACAGTTTGTGAATGAACTTTTGGAAACATTATGAACAGTTCATAAAGAATTTTTGAATTTTTTCCATTTGCATAATTAAAATTCTACAGAAGCACTTTCTTGTGTTTATGTTAAATTACTTAAATTCCATTGCTGTTTTGAACGGCATTTTTTCCCCTCTTTGTTTAATGTTATCAAAATAGCCATGGATCAGCATGATCACACTGACGTGCACCTGCGTATTTAAATAAGATTATGATTGGAAAACAGCTATCTAGCAAATCATTAAAAGTATTTCTCAACTTTAAAAATTTATGATGTAATACATATAAAAGTAATGCAATAAGTTATGAAAGATCCTGCCAAAATTGTGGCAATCATTCTGCACTGGAGTGCAGTCACAAATGTTCATCATTGTTTATCTGTTTTCAAATATAATATCATATCATGTTTATTTTTTTTCCCCAATAAGATCCAATAATTTTAAAACTAATCCACTGTTTTGTAAAAGGCAGCTCCCAAATTTTAATCTTTTTTATTTTTTAATGCAAGGAAAAATTACAGCAATAACAGTTAATTTATATCCTTGTTCATAAAACATAAGGTGGCCTATCAAGAATTAATCGAGGTTACATCATATGAAACCTTACCCATAACTGGTGCTAAATCTTGCTGCTAAGCAGTAGTTTAATGGTCAATGAGATAATATTTCAGTACAAGGAATGATTATTTTAATGTGTGTTGAATAGCAAAATAGAAGTCGGTTACAGGGTTATTCCTAATTTGTTGAAGCATTTTGAAAATTCTTAGTAAATAATCAGTGTGATAATTTTTTGATGCCAAGAAACAAGACATCAGAAGTAAGCACCAAAAATGAATACCACAAAATAATTCATAAAATTTCAATTTGCTTCAAAAGAATTGCATGCTATGCAAAAGAAAAAATACCATGAAGGATGTTCATAATTTTATATATATATATATATATATATATATATATATAGTCGTACAAAACAGAAAATGAACCTGAAAGAATTTTACCTGAACAATGGATTGTCGATAGCATTTGTTGCAAAGAGGTCTTTTAAATGTGAAAACAAAACTGTAAAAACTTTAATGAAGATAATTACCATGGAAATAGAAATATATGGAGTGAACATCATTAACGAAATGAGGCCAGAAGTGCATCCCTTTTTTCGCTCCATGTCAGTCCCTCATTACAATTGGATACTATGCGTATTGGTGATAGTTTATTCCAGTCAAGGCCAAATCACATGATTCATACTTGTAACCAAAGGCATGCACGGGGTAAGTCAGTTGTTGTTATAGATTCGGTCCATAGGTCACCTGTTACGAGATTACCTAAATGTTTATACAAGCTGATCATTAGAACCATTCATAATGCATATTCTCTAAGGTGACTATTTTTATTGCAAATCAGTAATATCTCAAATCATAGCTGTCTTAGAGAACTTTTGCTATATTTATTCAAGTATTTCAGTTTCTTCACTCACTGTTATATACGTATACTGATCGTTAAAAATAAAATTCATTTATATGTATTAGGGGAGTGATTGATCAACTGGTTTTGTATAACTGCCTAGATACATGGTTGGATTTGATTTAAAATGACATTTACTATTATTATAGAAATATTTACATTGAAAATATAAGGTAATGCTGTGAAGATAATTGAAAGGACTATAATACTTTTTGAAATCTTATGAAATTAAATTGAGTTTTAAATTGAGTTAAAATAAAACTATTTAAATATTAAATAATTTTGCATAAAAAAATTGTTGTTAAACTTATACAGTCAAAAGTCTTTAATCCGGACTCGTCGGGACTTCGGTGATTATAAATTTTCCGGATTATAGATCATCAGTTTAAATCTGGTAAGATGGCATGCAGAAATTATAAAATTAAAAATATGAAACCGTAATTTATAAAATAATGAGCAATTATGATCTAAAGGGTATCAAAATTTACAAAAAAAAAAAGCTTAATATTTATTTATTTACTTTATTAAACATTTCTTTCAACGCGCGCATGCGTAAAGCATATATTATGCATAGCCGAAATTAGAAAATTGCAACCAGAAAACTATTTGATTTGTATTCGTGATATTTATAATGATGAGGAATTTGATTTAAATCATATCAAAGACGAAGTACATCGAGATGAAATACTACATTTAATAAGGAATTATAAGCCGAATAAAATAAAAACATCTGCCCTGAAGATAACGATAGTGCTGACAGATCAACTTCCAGTTCATTGCGCGCCGCACGACGTTCCCCCTCCCCCCCCTAGAGCAGCGTCAAATTGATAAACGGATTTTGGAACGGTTTCGGAAGGGTAAACAAAGATATACCTTTATCCATTTATCCAATTTATGCAGCAATTCCACTTTTTGTTTGGTGGACATCGAAACCTGCTTTCGTTTTGTAGATCCTTTGGCAGCTCCAGGCATCAGAAATTCTATTTGACATAATCGAAAGTTTTCAAGCTTACTTTTATAATTATAAAATTGCTCTTACAGTCTGCAAAAAATAATAAGCCGGATCCAATTTGAAGATTAAGGAACAACGCAATCATCAACATTAACTGAAATAGACAATTAGATAATTTTAGCTTATACCGTCCGTTATACATTAAGCGTGCAGCAAAAACGTATTCTGCGCTTGTGCACACGCAAATGCGCAGTCGTAAAGGTCTTAAACGCCTATGAGCATGCGCAGAAAGTTTTTAGCTTTGAGATCTGAATTAACGACTTTTGACTGTACCCTCCTTTTTTTTAAGACTTTCGTTATCCTGATATAAATTAAACTTTTGTATCTTTCAATAGTTTGAATGGGCTTGGCAAAACCCACTGAAATCCAGGAGACTGCATCATGTAAGCAAGAAAGTACCCCAAGAAAATGCCCTAAAGTACAGATTCCGTGTTATGTCTGAAATGCTGAGAGTTGGCCCATGGAATAGACTCCCTCTTACTGTACAGTGGCTGAATATAGCTTATAAGCAGGATTTTGATGTAAAATTTTTTTTTTTTTTTTTTTAATTTTTGATGTATATTTTAAATGTTTTTCCTTTTTTAATAGGCTTGCTCACCATTCAGCATTGACATCTTTGTTTTTTTTAAGCCAGAACTAGCTTTTGCTCAATTGGCAAGATGTCAACCTGCAAGAAGACCTTAAATATGCTTAATTTCTCTTTACAAATTAATCTGTTGTTTCTCAGCTATAAATAATACAAATACAGAAAGCTGACAATAACTAATAAATGCAGATGTTAGTTATTGTTACCTTTTTATCTGCCAACTTTGGTAACCACCTGCATTTCGTTTATCAACATAAGTAACCAATGCCTATCATATTTTTGTCTGCTGACACTTTCTGTAATTTGGATAGAAACGATTTGTTAATACATTCTCTGAGAAAGCTGATATGGTGCATCCATTCACTCACACGGACATCCTGTCTACATTTTCATACTCTTAAATTGTTTTCTGTTGAGTTATTATTAAAATATAGATATAACAGATCATTTTTAGCATTAAATAATTCCCATAAGTGTACTTGTAGTTCAGCATAGGCAAATTTCAGCATAATATAATATCTTTTATTTATTGTGATCTTCAAATTGTCAAAAGTTTTTCTGCCCTAAATATTTAGTTATTGCATTTACATTTTGAGAAATAAATACCATTTCAGTATGCTAAGTATATTATTTAACCCTTTCCTGTATGTCAAACGCCTAAACATTTCATGTAGTTGCTACAGCAATACTTGTACTTGGTAATTTAGGTAAGGCAATCAACTATGAGTATTCTCATAGCTGCCAAATAAACTCAGTTCACGGACTACAAGTATTCTGATAGATGGCAGTGAACATGTTAAGAATACTTTAGTTGTTGTTGCTGTTTGCCCATGAGTGCGTATGCTTTAGCTAGCCATTGTGTTACAGAGTGCAATGTAAGATCTTGGTTCATTGGCTGATTCTATGCCAGATAAACTAAAGCTAGCTTTGGCATAAATAAGCATCAAGGATTTTGATATCATGTGTGGCAGACAAGGTTCCTTCACTATTTTTTTGGGGGGGGCGGGAATTTAAAAACATTCTATATTCTCTAATTAATATTTTTAATTTCAAATTTTGTTTAAAAGATTTGTTTTCTCTTTTTTCAAAACAGATTGTAAATTTCTATAATGGAGTAATAATGAAGATTTTCTAAAAAATTTTAATAAACCTATTGTTAGAATAAAATGCAAGGTGAATGATGCGTACAGATTGCAAATATACAATGATGGAGCATAAACTGTTCCTGTAAATAGCTTATAAAATTATGTACAAAGTATTGCAAAAAAAGTTATATTAATATTATATTTTTGGAATGTGCATGGTTGGACAGTATATAGAATGTGTTCAGTATGTTATAATTTTTTGAACTTGTTCACAATGGTGGTAGGGAATCTGATTGCCATAACATGGGTCCAAGTTTGAATCCTGAAGAAGGCAAAGATACTGTGTACTCACTGTGTAGAAAGCAAAGATACACATGCCCATGTGTATTTTAAGAGCTTTCTTGCCATATAGATACTGTATGCTTACAAACATCTATGCCTTCATTAAGATTCAAATCTAGATCTGTGAGTACGACAGCACTAGCTACTATATTGGCTGGGCAGCAAAATGAAGTGAAAGTTCATAGTTGTGCTGCATTTGCTGGTTTTTACCAGTATTATCACCATGAGAAATCATATATCAAAGATGTATGATGGCCATAACAGCCTTGAAAATGTTTGTGGGGCTAAAGTTCCAGAAGTATTGATAATTCTCTTGTATTTTATACTGCTAGTGCTGTATTTTATCGCATAGATATCTAATAATACCTTTGATTTAGTAGGTTTAAATGATTCCAGAGAGATAAGTATATTCTAGTGATTCTGCCTATTTTGAGTGGTTTGTATTAGTATGATGTTTTGAATTTTAGCAAATATTCTGGTTTATTTGTTCATAACTTAAGTTTTCCGTGTTTTTGCTGTATTATTTATTTATTTAGTACATATTATGCTATTATTTTACTGTGTATTGTTTGTTTAACAAAATTTATAAACAGCATATATATATGTAGGAAGCTTTGTTCTATCCAGAAATATGATGAATGTGAACTTAGTGTCTAGGGGCTGGAAATGATGAATCCAATTTATGGAAAACTCGAATTTTTAATGGAAACACGAATAGCTGCTACAAACTACAAGGCGATTACATATGTGGCAGAAAATAGATAAGGTTATTTACAGATGGATAGAGAATAATGCCCTTTATATATGCATGTCTTTAAATGCCGTCATTGTCATCATGCTCTTACTAACGTCCTTCTCTGAATGATTACGCAGCTCACTCTGTCGTAGCACTCGGGATCCAAAGGTCCTTTCGCTATGGCTTGGTGCTACATTTACTCGATGATGCATTTCCATATATATGTAATAAGATGACATGCTGAAAGAAAGTTGCAATGGATTGACGATGGTTCTTTGCATTATAACTTGAAGAGGCTTTACTGCATAGTTAGAAAGATGACACTCGAAGACAGACATGTAATGTAAACAAACTTAGAAGTGAAAAACAGCAGGAATTTTGATGGCATAGAAATGTTAATCCATGAGGAATAGGAGACCGGCAGCTAAGGCACATTAAATCTTCATTTTATTTTCAGTAAACATATTGTGACCAGAAACAACTTCGCACATTATATGTGCCTATTTCAAGAGGTTTACATTTTTGATAACTTTGCAAGAAGGAAGCAGCATTCTAGCTAGGCCAAATAGTAGCGAGCAGATGTGTTATGTTCAGGGTGAATTCCTAATTCAGACTCAATTAGTTTTGGTTTTCAGTGCATTTTGATTGCATAATTAGTACTACCATAAAATTATTATTGGTTGTTGAGTTTTAGTTTCATTTACATCATCAGAATTATTTGAGAGCCGTATGATATGGATCAATCTTGAAATGATGCAGTGCAAATAGAGATTACTTTTTTTAAAATACAAAGAGGAAATTTATTTACATTGCTAAATTTAAATTATAATTTATCTTTTACATATTTTCTTACATATATATATACTGTATATTTCAGTGTATAACATGCATAAAGTGGCATATCCACTTTAACACAAAATGTGAGATCTAAATTTACGGGTGCGCGTTATGCACCAGATATAAAAATGCTAGAATTAAAAATAATGAAAAGATAAGCATAAAAAATTAGGTTTCTACGTGTACTTAAATGCTGCTACTGACGATTCTCGCGATTTTCAAGGATCCATTTTGCAGCACATAAGATAGGCAATTTTTATTACTAATTTCTGTAAAGCACATTCATTCTTTGACGCATTAATTATTGTGATATAATTTTTCTTTCACTCATTTATAGTTTTCACCAATACCAAATATCCTTGCTGCACCACGATTTCCATTTACTTTCACAAATTGAATGAGCCATATTTATTGTTAAAAGGAACACTAGACCAACTGTATTTCAGCTAAAGCAAATGTGATTTACTAAAACCTTCAATCTTCACTTCAAAATCATGACTTCAAGTGACTGCAGAAAGATAAAACGTCGGACTCCTAATTCTGTGGATTCATTCTGATTGGAAGTACATTTGCATCCCAAATTATTTCCCCCATTACTCGAAACCCTAGAATAACATTCTTGTGAACATCTGCATTGAATACAACCCACTCTCCTTGCAGAATTATTTGCTTCTTCAAGCATTTTTCGCTTACACATATTGTTCTCCTTATCGCTAGTCAATTCAGTATACCATTGTTAGAAAATTTCCCCAAAATCTTCAAATGAATGACTTCAAAAGGTAACAACATCACACATGTATCTTTCAGGTTTCTTTGTAATGAAAAGGATGCATATTATATGTTGAATATATCTAAAACTTTAAAAATATAGTTTGAAATTACTTGTGCACGTTATACACCAGAATATACAGTATGTGTATACATATATATAATACATAACTTTTTTTAAGTCTGATTCATTTGATTTTTGAATTGTACAGATATCTCAGTTACAGATAGTGATGTAGGGAAACACCCTACAACTATCGGCTTTTTTGGGGGAGGGAGGGTTATCTTCTCAGTAATCTGGAGATATCCGGGAAATATATAAAATATGTTTCCAAAGCCCTAGGGGTGATTTTTCTTACCTTACAAAAGTGAACCTTGCCACTGAGCAGCCCTATAAATATCGCATGTGTAGTCAGTCAGCTGAAAGTTCAATTCAGTGTCATCTGACTGTATTGAGCTTCTACTCAGTGATTACTTTCTAAATGATTTGTGATACTCCTCATGTCTTAAAAATTTGAGTTTGCTTTACTTCTGTTTTTCTCTCTGGATTGTTTGCAGCTGTATGTTTTGATAACTTTTAATTGTATTTTAAGCTATCAATATAAACAGCTGTAAATAGCCTCAGGAGAAAAACAGGTAATATTCTTAATCATTTGTCAGGGAATGTTGAAATTGCTTTTATTCAATGAGACATGTCTACTTTACTATATATTCTGAAGGAAAGAGTCCAAATAGAGACTTTTCAATACTTACGGAAAATCCCGTCGACCACGAGACACGGCACCAAACCAAAAAAACCCATTTACTCCTCTTTTCCCCCATTCAATAGTCATTAATTCTCTGCACCAACTATAAATGAATCGGAATGCAGTCAAAAATGAAGTAGTAGAACCCTCGAACTGACACTCGCTTCACACAAGCCTTAACATTGAAATGCCATTGCTTCTCAGTTTTTAAATAAAACACCATTTCATGGCCATTAACACATATTTTTGAGGCTGATAAGATTCCATAACTTTGGAAATATTCATTAGCATGCTCTTCTGTAGTAGGTAGGTCTCAAATTTTAATAATTTTTTTTCGAAAATGCGTGATAGAGGGGGGGGGAGGAGTCTTTACTGAAGAATAATAACTAACATGTGTAATCAAGGTTACACCAAATTCAGCATGTTTGAAGAAGACTTTTTCAGTTTTAGGGAAAACATCGCATAGTTTGGCATCTTTTCTTTAATTGGCAAAAATGGTCAACCGGATTTTCCATAACTACTGACTTTTCTTTTAACCCTGTGTGTTGTAGTAAATAATCTGTAAACTTTCATAATTATTATTTAAGTCTAAAATAGAGTTTCTTTGACAGCTTTCAAGACTTCCTCCCTTGCATATACCTATTTGTATTGGTCCTATTGAACCACGAAAAGTGAAGAACAAAGATGATGATCAAGGAGAAGATATTTCTCTGAAATTTTGTTATTTGTGCGATAAAATAATCACAAAAGATGATAAAAAGTTTGTATGTTTCAGCAGAAACTGTGCGGAAATATTTCATGTATTATGCTTAGGACGTCATTTTATCTCATCAAATGAAGACCCAAACTTCCTTCTGCCTATTGAAATTTCATGTCCCAAATGCAATGTTCGAATACTGTGGGGCAATGTCATACGTTATGCTTCTGGTTGCTTTCGTGAATCACCAGGTATTTCTTGTGATGTTCAAACATGTACTAATGAAAACACAGTGTAAAAAATACTTTTGAAGCTTATCTTTCTCCTCAAAATGTAGATGTTATTATATAGGACAATTATCTGTATTATCAGACTTTATTTTAACATTAAAAAAAAATTACTGAATGTACCAGTATGCAAAATTTATTAGAAAATGCGTATCTTCTGTTAAAAAACTTTTCCTTTTTAAATTCATTTTAGTTTTTTCAAGATTGTTTTAATTGGCAGGTATGGTGAGATGATATTGAATGACTTGAAAAAAATCATAATCCTAGATGTTAAGCAAGCTAAATTCACTTAATATTGTTAAACTGTCTTATTTAGTCAAATATCTTAAGTTATGAATTACGTTTTATTGGAACTTCTGTATCCATATCCTTAAAGTTCTGTTCAATCAATCCACATCTTCCCCCATCCTTTAAGTTAGACCATCAGGTTTTAATTTTGGCATATGTTCCATGCATAAAGTGTTTAAAATGTTATTTACAGTATGAATGTAGGTGATATTTGCTTAATATATATATATATTTGTAAACATACAGACTTCCCGTGCACCACAGATGTACAACACAGGGCTTACAGAAGTAATTTATCTAAAACATTAAAAGTTACATGCATAAATAAAACAAACAGAGGAAGAGAACAACAGTCTGGACTTCATGAAAACAGATGAGTTCACTGCTTAAGTCACTCTGAACATTTTCAAATTGTTCTGCAAGCATAATCTAGGGCCATCAAATGTAGGGCATGAGAAAATCAAATGTTCCGCATCCTGAGGTACTCTTTTTGAACATTCACATAAATTGTTTGATCTTAGATTAAAACGAAACAGATCACTTGCAAACTTACCATGACCAGATAAAAACTGAGGAACTTTAAAATTAATAGAGAGGAAGGACTCTGAATGCAGTCTATGGTAAATAGAAGAAAAGAACTTTTTGGTGACCTCAACATTAGACAATGAAATATATTCCTCATTCCACTTAGCTAACTTAATATTCTATTCCTTAGTATATTATTATCTAACAATTAATATAAATGTCTATCCACTTAATTTGAAAAAAAAAGATAACATTATTAATCATTATACGTGCAGTGATTTCATAGTGTTAATTTATATGCCTATATAGCAAATGTAAAGTGAGAGTATGATTGTTAGCATTTATTATTTTGGTTCTAAAGGCTTTCTATTTTGGCAAACAAGTATGACAATCTAAAACCTTTGTCTTGATGAAATTTGTCTTAAAATTTTGAATGCATACCGAGAGCAGAATTTTCGAAGTTTTATTTCTTAATTTGAAATTAAGATCTCAGGATTTAACAATTTATATGGGTTTGAATGTGTTTAATGGACCTTTTTGATATTTTAATTTCAAACGTTTTTAAATTTTGATATGGGAGTTTCAAGGATTGGAATTTGGCAAAACACATGAGGCTATATGTCTCAGGGGAGGAATGTGTTTATGGAGGACTTTTTAAAGGAAACTGGCTAGTATTCACATTATGCTTGGGTCTAAAATAACTAAAGTCCATGGGCTGACCATATCAATATGACCTTTTCTGAAGGTTTTGGATTTTCTGCAAGTATTGGTTTTATGTGACAAGAGATTTTTGTCCATTGATTGACACCTTTTTTTATAATTTTTAAATTCTCTGTCTTGTATTTGTTCTTCAGTAATTTTATCATAGTTAATTGATCAAATTGCTGAAGAACTATTTTCATATTGTTCTAAGACTGAGCCTGTTGACAAATCTGAAGCATCAGAAAATAATCCAAGATGGAAATCAGGGTTCGGAAATGACAGTAAGGTAGCATTTGCCAGGTCTTTATAAAATGCCCTAAAAATTCAATTTGTTGAACAGCTATGATTTTGCAGTATTAATTCAGAGACCATATTTGTTTAATGTACTGAAAATCAAATGAAGATGATTTTCGGATTGTCCTTCATCTGCAGATGCAACTAGCATATCATCTAGTTATGGAAAAATAAAATTAAGAGCTCTTAAAACTTTGTGAATAAACCATTGAAAGGTTACAGAGGTACTTTTTAGACCAAAACTCATTATATTAAATTTAAATAATTGAAATTCAGTAATTATTGCTGTTTTACACTTATTCTCTTTGGCAACTGAAATTTGAAAGTAAGCTTAATAAACATCTATTTTAGAGAACATTTTTGTATCTTTTAAAATGTGATGAAAATTTTTTATTCTGGAAATAGGATAAAGCTATTGTTTGGGTATTTTAGGTGTCTATAATCCCCACACGATGTAAAGTTCCATCTTGCCTGAAAACTAGATGGCCCAAACATTGCAGGCTACAAAGAAATGCTGCTCTCGCTGTGCCAACTGTTTCTCGTGCTGTTGATATGTGCTATACGACCGTCTGGCGTGTGATGTGTCGAATCCTCCGTTATTTTCCTTATAAAATCCATAGTCGTCATCAGCTGTCCGACGGGGATCCTGTAGTTCGGGAAACATTTGCATTGCAGTTCCTTGCCAGAATGAAAGTCTATGCTGCTTGGCCGTGGAACATCCTTTGGACGGATGACGCCCATTTTCACCTGGATGGTCAAGTGAATGTGCACAACTGCCACATTTGGGCAAGTGAAAACCCACGCGCAATCCATCAAGTGCCCTTGAACCCTCCAAAGGTTACTGTACTGTACTGTATTTCACTGCAAAATTCGTCATTGGGCCTTATTTTTTTGAAGAGGTGACTCCAACATTTTCAAAACCTGCTCTGTCACAGGAAAACGGTATCAGAACATGCTGACAATGTTTGTGATCCCTGAACTGCAACAACATGGCCGCCTCCAGGACACAATATTTATGCAGTATGGTGCGCCTCCCCATATTCTTCGTGGCGAAACTTTTACCAATGCACATGTGATCAGCCGCTGTTTCCCTACAGCTTGGCCTCCCCGTTTGCCTGATCTCACGCCATGCGACTTTTGGTTCTTAAATGATTGGGTTTACCGAGAACACCCAGCAACCGTGGCACATCTGGAAGATGCAATTATTCGACATGTTCGTGGAATTAATGTGGACTTACTGCATTCCGCTGTGGAACACACTGCTTTGCGAATTGAAAGAGTTGTGGAGAACCACGGCACACATATAGAACATCTGTAGAATGTCTTGTTGGTCTGCAGCGCCACCTATCGGCAACTTCTTTTTTTGTGGTGTGTGTGTGTGTGTGTTTGTTTAATAAATCTCGAGCGCATGATCTGAAGTGTCTGTTTTTAAAATTTCATCACATTATGACCCATGCAACACTCTGCACAGGCATCTGAGTTGGGGAAGTTTAATTTGGATAACCCTGTACTTTCCTTTCATCACCGCATGTTTATCAAAACATGACAAATTGAGTAATGACTCGTGTAGCGATGCCTAAATAATTTTTATGCTAGTAATTTAATAATAAAGGAGTTTGGTAACCTTTTATGTTGACATTACGCTTGGCGATGATTACAGATTTAAGTTGAATGTGCTAAAAAATGTTGACGAGGAACAATTTAACAAAAATTTCTTTGCATATGCTTAAAATAGATTTTGTTAATGATGTTCGTAGACCCAAAGATTACATTTAGGGCTATTTGAATTAAGAATAACTGATTTGTTATTTACATAAACCCAGAACCAGCGCCAAGGCTCATATGGCCGCATTCAATCGCACAATTTTAGGACCCACAGAGACTGTAAGATATCTAGCACAGGCCCTCAATAAGGCTTAAATATATGGTGGGAATTTATTTATTCAGAATTCTGATAAGCCTTAAGCATGTGCAAGAAATAGACATAAGTATAATAAATAACTAAACTAATACAATTCAGGCTTAATTGTCTCAGTGCGCGATAGAAGCAAGATAAAATTTTTCAGAACAACGTGTCGTTAGTCGCCAAGCTCATGATGCATAGCTAAATTTTATGATGATACCCACTAATTTTAAAGGTTTTCAGATATCGCAAAACAACGGTGAAATTTTCCAATTAATGAATTTTGTAAAGAAATGTGGAGAAGCGCTAATAAATGAAGATAATGTAAAAAAAATTTTTATATCATGAATGACGAAATCTATAGTATGGTTCTAGATCCAGTGAAGAAAGTGACAGACGAGTTACTGAAAACCAGAAAATTTTGATTCACAAGTTATTCGGTATTCTCGAAACAGCAGTTACAGGACTTCAACAATGTAACTAAATAAGAGATAATGTCTGTCTACAGAATTAAAGAGAAAGTATTAGCACAAAAAACTAAGCAACTTAAAACAGCGTACATTGAAAGAAATGTTTAATAAGGTAAACAAATCAATATTAAGATTTTTTTTATAAATTTTGATACCCTTTAGTTCATAAATCACGATTTCATATTTTTAATTTTATAATTTCTACATGCCATCTTACTAGATTTAAACTGATATCTATCATCCGGAAAAATCCCAAATTTGGAATCGCCGAAGTCCCGACGAGTCTGGATTTTGGACTTTGTACTGTATGTGTGTAATAATTTGGAGTGTCGCTGGTGGCACAGTTGTTGAAGCATACATAGAAGAAGAAGCTTGCAAGTATGTCTAAATTAAATATTCCTTTTCATTTTAGTTGATCAAATATTTTTATATACCAGCACAAAATAACTATATTAGTACCAATTATAATTTTGAGATATAATTTAGGACAGAAATGAAGCAGCATTTTAGCTAGGACCAAAAGCAGAAAGCAAATCCGGTGTGTTTAGAATAAAATATTAATTCACAATGAATTACTTCTGATACTGTTTATTGTCTAATTAATAGCACTCTAAAATTATTATTGGTTGAAACACAATAACATGCCGAATAAATACTAATTCAGATACTAATTAAGAAGTCAAACAACAAAAATCAGCGTTATATTTTCAAAATTTTTGCTGGACTTGTTTCGATGCTTTTTACCGAACCACCATCCTCAGCTGCAAAACCGCAAATGACTAATTCAGTCAAACAACAAAAATCAGCATTATATTTTCAAATTTTCACAGGACTAATTTCGATGGTTTTACTGAACCATCATCCTCAGCTGCAAAAGCAGCAATGGGCAGACTTCTGAATTATTATTGGTTGGCTGAGTTTCAGTTCATAAAACATTACTAGCATGATGTAAAAGTC